ATCTCAAAATGGAAGACATTGGTGATTTTGTTGTTCTTAAACAACTTGTAACATTTGTCCACAAGTATTAAAATATACATATATATATTTCTATTGCACATATCCCATTTTTGTTTAACTTGTCCAAAGAAAAACTGCCAGCTAACATGGATGAGCAAAGGAAAAGAAGAAGGCATAGCTTCAGATCAAACCATAGCCCTGCCTAAAATTACAGCTTTTGCCAGTAAGAAGAGGACCAAAATAGACAAGAAAAAAATGTCGGTGTACTAAGTAAATGCTGGGCAACTACAACTAGAATATACCCATTTTGTTAAATGCCATTTGTGTCAACCATGGAAGAGACAGAAACAATTTGAAAGAGAGCACTAAACACTGGTTCTCTGAACTGTGAACTGAAAACAAAGCCTCTGGAGAAGCTGATACTTGTTCAAACGAGTGGGCCAGAGCTGGTTTCACTGGTGATGACAGTACAGGTCATATCCCCTGCCAAATGATCCCTCACAAAAAGTTGCCAACAAGACATGGGAAAGATGGATAACAGACAAGTGGAAAGTACAAATTGTCCATGATATGATATTCTCAATGTACCAGTGGGACTCATGTATGTAGGCACCATTCTGTCTTTAAAAATTCCAAAATACTAAAGGAAAACATCAGAAAGTGGCTGGGAGGTTACTTAGGGAAAATTTTAAGTCACCTTTAACCAAAGTTATTTCTACTATGCTTTACCACCCAGTAACTGACATCAATTAAAAGAAATTTTATTTTATCTACACTATGTAATTACCAAAAAGCTCTGTTATCCCAATTCAAATTGGTTGACTAATCTCACTAATCATCAGAGTGCTCAACATTTCCCATTTTTGCCCATTTCTATCACTCTCCCATTTTGGTAAATCTGCCCTAAGTTCCCAGCATCACAGCATACATGGCCTTGAGCAAACATTCCAGAAAACATAAGAGATGACCTAACACTATCTCTTCTTAATTTAATTGAAGTTTTAAATTCTTTCTGTACTCACAAAGAATCATAAAGGTTTCACTATTCTTATGTAAAGACCTGACAATATATATAATGGTCCTCTGTTGATTTGGAAGCAAGGACAGCTTTCCACTAAAGTCTGTTCATCATACGTATAACTGTTAAGGGAAAAAAGGAAAATCCAGATTTCTTACTGGAACTATTTTTCTTGTTTCAGTTCCCTCCCTCTCCCCCACCAGACCCTGGATTTCTTCTAAATCTACAATGACTCAACTACAAGTTTGGGAACATTGTTTCTGAGTCCTATTTTCTGATGAGAAAGTTCAGTTCCAACTGGGGAAAGTTACCTGAGTTCCAGCCTTTTCACTCTAACATTACACCTATCACCTAGAATAACAAATCAAACATCCAAGTACCTATCTTGGGTTGAAAGAAAATATTTATGTTTTTACAAAAAATGGAGCTGTATAATGTAAAACACCATTAAGTCAGGCGGAGCTGCATTAGGCATTTTTGCTTCTTTTTCTTAGGAGAAAGGAGTTATATGAAAACTTTTCTCAGCTCCCCTACTCCTCTGTGTCCAAAGTTGAAGGCATGCCATACTGTAGGGTCCATCACGGCTTCTGAACCGAAAAACTGCTTATGTTAATTTTCTTCCAGTCTTAGCAACATGGAAAATAAGGTCTCAAGTACTATATTGGACTCCATAAAAAAAGGATGAAGTATTAGCGTTTCATCCTAGGGAGGTGAATACGGTTCCATCACTGAACTCAAAACCATTTTGTTTTCTTTTACCATCTTTTCAGTAGACCCAAGCATTTGTTAATAGGGTTAGTGGTTGCACAATCTGGTACTTTCTTAGAAGAATGAAAAACATTAAAAATATTAAATGTCCAAAGACTTCTAAGAAGTCAAAGACAGCTTCCTTCTTTAGGAGAAAAATCCCTCTTTTCATCCAAAAATATGTATTTGTATGGAGACTGGGATGGTTTATTTGGATATGAAATTAACCTTGATATCTTGTCTTTATGCTTCTTTATCACATCAAATGTTTAAGTGCAAATTTGGATCTTTCTTCTTATCCAGTAAATCTATGTCACAGGATGAACCAGGATTTAGATATATACATCTATATTAACTTTTTAACATCTCTTTCATTTCAAATTAGAATACATATTTGGAATTTACAGCTGCAGTCTCAACTGTGCTTATCATGATAGTGGCTGAAACTGGAAGACATATTAAAAGACCCTGAAGTCATCCATACTTGCTGTTTATTCAGTCTTCTTGTTTGGAACAAAAGGTAAAGAATTCACAAATATCACCACTTAAGCTCCTGTTTCAAATGAAAAATCAGCCTTCAGCTTGCAAAATAATTTCTTTATAATTAAGCAAACAGCAGAAGACTCATGTCAGTTCCTTCTTTCTTCCTGGAGAAATCAGCAGGATAACTGCATCCTAAGGGCTTCTCTGTGTTGAATCTGAGAGGTGGAAAAAAAAAAGAAAAGCGAGCAGCCGTTTCCATTCCAAATCATGGAGGTAATGTGTAGAGAAGAGATATCCAATTTCAAGAATAGGGAAAGTGGCTAGATAAAAAAACAGGACTACCCAGTCTAGGAGATAACAGAGAGATACCTGGAAATAAAAAATAAATTTAAAAATAGGAAGATTAGCACAAGTACTTCTGCATAAGCTTACTTTTAAAAACAATATTTAAAACACACATAAAGAAAAAATATTTGGGATTGATTACACATTGTCTAAAAGAAAATGTCTAACCACAACACCAAATTCAGTATTGTCATCAGAAAAGCAGTAGTAGCCAGAAAAAATATATAAACATGAAACAAAAAGCTAGATTTATATAAAAACTTCTATTATATAAAATGAGATATATATGTCAATTTTCTTATGCAAATGCAATGTACTCCAAGCTTTCTGAAGCCATAAAATTATGATTCTATATAAAACATTTGTGTTTAAAATAATGTTCTCCAAATTTGATGCCTAAATACATAATACTCAAAAGCATATGTATCATCTCACTCTGAATTACCTTCAATACATAAAATGAACAATGAATAAAAACTTTGTAAAATATCACCATAAGTAAAACAATATATACTGTACCATGATCACCAAATGTGACAATGTAAAAACAACTGGGGCTGGCTGTTTAGCTCAGTTGGTTAGAGTGTGGGGTTGATAACACCAAGGTCAAGGGTTCGGATCCCCTTACTGGCCAACTGCCAAAAAAAAAAATAAGTAAAAACAACTGAATAAACCCAGTTTATTGTTGCTAAACGTTAAGTTTTCTGTTTATGTGTCTGTTAAGTCAGACACAAAAGGACAAATATTGTATAATTTCACTTATATGAGATATCTAGAATAGGCAAATTCATAGAGACAGAAAGCAGAATAGAGGTTACCAAGGGCTTTGGAGAGGGGAATTGGGAAGTTATTGATTAATGGGTACAGAGTTTCTATATGGGATAAAGAAAAAATTCTGGAGATAGTGGTAATGGTTGTACAACAGTGTGGAATATACTAATGCCAATAAACTGTACACTTAAAAATGGTTACAAGGGTAAATTTTGTTATGTATGTTTTACAATAAATCACAGGTGCATATCAAAAGCTTAAATGATTTGTTTATAAAAATGGCCAGTAGCGATTGGCTAACTAGTCTTCCTAGCCCACTGTTTTTAGTCTATCACATATGTAAAAAAGAAGACAGGGTTCTTTTTTTTTTTTTTAAAAGATGACCGGTAAGGGGATCTTAACCCTTGACTTGGTGTTGTCATCACCACGCTCAGCCAGTGAGCGAACAGGCCATCCCTATGTGGGATCCGAACCCGTGGCCTTGGTGTTATCAGCACCGCACTCTCCCGAGTGAGCCACGGGCCAGCCCGAAGACAGGGTTCTGATTCAAAGTGTAGGAAAGACAAATGTAGATTAATTCAGAATCAAATCAGGAGGAAGAGAACTGCAAAACTTGTATTTGCTGCAAAAGCAGCAATGGAAGTAAGAAGAAAAAGTAAAGATCCACAGACAGGCCTTCAGACCCTATGGTCAGAGGGCTTTTTCACTACAGAAGCTTACTCAGGCTAATTCAAAGCCTACACCAGTCATCGGGCTGTTCTGCAATTCAATTCTAATGGCAAGATAATTGGCAGTAATGTTGAAAGGGAAAGAAGATACCAGTTAGTTTTTTCCAGAAGTAAATGTGGTGAAAGAACTCTGTACAAACCAAATAAGCAGCAAAGAAGCCTTTAAAAAGAGCTTTTGAGGAGGCGGGGGGGCAACTGTCTGGTACAGGGATGGAACCTTGGACCTTGGTGTTATGAGCACCACACTCTAACCAACTGAGCTAACTGGCTGTCCCTGTATCTGTCTACATTCTTTTAAAAACAAATTCCTTTAGCAATACCAACTAATAAAACTGCACGCCTTCATCATATATAAACCTTGTCCCTCAAACAATCTGTACCTTAATATCAGGCAATAATGCTAGAAAACCATAAGATTGTATTCTCTTCAAAATGCCCAATTTCACATCTCAGACATAGTTATTCAAAAATCTGTACACTCTAAAAACATAGATATGTATGTATGTAATAATTGCAAAGAATGGCTGAATGAATAGCAGCTTAGAAAAAAACCAAAGTTCCAGACTTAGAATTCCCCATAAGATTTGCACCTCCCTACTTACCTCTTCTAACCCCAATTCTATCTCCCCCTCACACTGGATTCCTTGCTCTTTCTGGAATGTCAGGTATGCTCCTTACCTTATAGCCTTTGTACTAGCAGTTCCCATGATGGGAAGACTCTTTCCGTAGGTATCTGCATAACTAACTCTCTCTCCTGCAAGTCTTTACTCAAATGTCATTTCTTCAATGAGACCTACCTTGGGCTCCTATGTAAGATTATATCCTCTTCCCTTCCTATCCACAGATTACTCTCCCACCATTGCCCTTTACTTTGCTCTACATTTCCTTTTATCCATAGCAAATAACACTATGTAACCTGCTATATAAGGTTCTTTTTATGTTTCTCATTTACTGTCTTGTCCAGAATGTAAACTCTACGGGAAGAGGCCTGTTTTCTTCACTGATGAACCACAAGCACCTAGGAATAGCATGTGACCCATGGTAATATGCATTTGATAAAATTTTGTAGAATAAATGAGTAGCAGGGCTTTTAAATACACCTAGCCAACATGAGTTAAAATTTTAAATAGTTTGTAGATTTAGGTATGGTAACTAGAATTGTACACTCTGATGCACAAAACTTACAAATAAATTCCCTGTAAAGTTGGTGCCTCGCTAGGCACTTTTGGGTCTCTAAAGTCACTTACTCAGTGCTGTTGATTATACAAAGTAACTTTGTACCAGAAAATCTGACTTCTTGGGAAAATGGAAAGGGAGAACAGGAATTTTCAATGTAGCAGTTAGGCAAGCCAGCTTGTGAGTCAATGACTGTGTTCTAGTCAGCCTCCAAGACAGTCCAAAGTGACTGTTGCCTCCTGGTATTGAAGCCATTCTATAATCTCCTCCAACAATGAATCAGGATTAATCTATGTGACTGTTGTATAATAAAGAATGTGACTATCCTTTGTCCCTGGGAGAGAGACACTAAATCCTTGGAATTTGGAGTAAATGAGCCAGTGAAATTAAACAACTCACTCCTAAAACAACCAATAGGGTCAAAAAAGAAATCAGAAGGGAAATTAGAAAATGTCTTGAGACGGGCCGGCCTGGTGGCGCACTGCTACAGTGTGCCGCTTGGGAGCATGGTGGCGCTCCCACCGAGGGTTCGGATCCCACATACAGACCGGTTCCCGCTCACTGGCTGAGCGAGGTGTGGGAGCAACACCGAGGGTTGTGATCCCGTTGCCAGTCCCCAGTCCGGTCCGGGTGCGACACTGAGGGTTGTGATCCGTTGCTGGACACGAAAAAAGACAAAAAGGAAAAAAAAAAAAAGAAAAGAAAATGTCTTGAGACAAAAGACACAACATACCAAAAATTTATAGGATTCACTGAAAGCAGTGCTAAGAGGGACATTTACAACTTTAAATGCTTAAATTAAAAAAGACCTCAAATCAACAACCTAACTTTACACCTGAAAGAACTAGAAAAAGATTAAACCTAAAGCTATCAGAAGAAGGAAAAAATAAGTATTAGAGCAAATATAAATACATTAGAGAACAGAAAAATAAGAGAAAATCAATGAAATCAAAAGTTGGTTCTAGGGCCGGCCCGGTGGCGCACTGCTACAGTGTGCTGCTTGGGAGTGTGATGGCGCTCCCGCCGAGGGTTCGGATCCCACGTACAGACCGGCCGCTCACTGGCTGAGCGAGGTGCGGGCGCAACACCGAGGGTTGCGATCCCGTTGCCGGTCCCAGTCCGGTATGGGCGCGACACTGAGGGTTGTGATCCGTTGCTGGTCACGAAAAAAAGACAAAAGGAAAAAAAAAAAAAAGAAATGATGGCGCTCCCGCCGAGGGTTCGGATCCCACGTACAGACCGGCCGCTCACTGGCTGAGCGAGGTGCGGGCGCAACACCGAGGGTTGCGATCCCGTTGCCGGTCCCAGTCCGGTATGGGCGCGACACTGAGGGTTGCGATCCGTTGCCGGTCACGAAAAAAGACAAAAAGGAAAAAAAAAAAAAGTTGGTTCTAAGAGGGCCATGGGAATCCCCAAATTTGTAGCCAGTTGGTAAGAAGCGTAGGTGGCCTGAGGTTGGGGAGTTCTCCAAAGTGCAGCGGCATCTGAAGTAAGGACAGTTTTGTTGAGGACATGTCCTTTGACTTGTGGGGTTTATGCTAACTCAGGTGGTTAGTGTCAGAATTGTAGTGCAGTACACCAATCAGTGTCAGAATACTGACCAATAGAATAAGGAGGAAATGACAGTGAGTGACTTCTAAGGCACGGTCATAGAAAAAACTGTGGTTTCTGCCTTGTTCTCTTGGATTGCTTGTTCAGGGAGAAGCCAGCCACCACATCATGAGGACACTCAAGCAGCCCTGGAAGAGGTCTATATTGGGAGGAACTGAGGCTTCCCCCTAACCAGCATGAATCTGCCATCCATGTGAATGTGCCACCGTAGAACTGGATCAGATGACTGCAACCTTATAAAAGACCCTAAGCCAGAAACCCCCAGCTAAGCTACTCCCGAATTCTTGAAAGAAATAATAAATGTCTGTTGTTACTTTACTCAACTAAGTTTTGGGTTATTTATTATGCAGCAATAAATAACTAACACACTTTGCTTTCTCTAAGGACACAGAAATTGATGTATCGTGGAAGTTAATACTACTTTCTTATTTTGCTATGTAAATAGCAAATTCACAATATATTTCACAAAATACAATGGACTATTAAGATTAGGAAAGAAAAAGTCGGAAGGAGTCAAACGACTATTATCAATTACTATTATCACTGTCATTCATATTCAGTTTTTAAGTGTCTTATTAAAATAAAAAGAAAAACTGCTGGGATAATTGGACACTTCTTACCCCCAGGATGTGGACAGACTATGCTAATGTAAAATCACTGCCTGAGCAAAAATTTAACCTCCTGGACATTTATCACATATTTATCAAGTACTTCTTTCTTTGAAAATTTTTATTTGAATAGATAATACATGCACATAATATGAAAAGGAAAAATAGTGTATGCAGTGTTTCTTGCCTGTCCTTTTAGAGACAGGCTATGGCTACATAACCTCTGTATGAATAGACATATATTTCCCCCACAAATGAAAGCACACTATATAAGAGGGGATCTTCAAAAAGTTCATGGAAAATATGTCTTATGAAAAAACTTTGTGTGGACTGCAAAAATTTTTTTGCACCAAAATAAACTTGTACTAACTTGCTATAACATGTCTGAACAGGATCTAGTTTGAGGCACTGAGTAGAATAAGACATCAGATTGAAAAAAGCCCCTATCAGAGCAACATGAAATCTGCTAAAATTGAAGCAAGACCAAACATCAAATTGATGGTAAAGCTTGAGTAGAAGAATGATGAAATCACTGATTCTTTACAAAAAGCTTATGGGGACAATGCCCCAAAGAAATCAGCAGTTTACAAATGGATAACTCATTGGCCAGCCAGTTAGTTCAGGTGGTTAGAGCACAGCCTTGTAACACCCAAGGTCACAAGTTTGGATCCCAGAAGAGGCCAGCTGCAAAACAAAAACACAAACGGGTAATTCCGTTTAAGAAGGGGATGAGACAATGTTGAAGATGAAGCCTGCAGCAGCAGACCATCCACATCAATGTGCAAGGAAAAAATTAATCTTGTTTTGCCCTAACTGAAGAGGACCAATAATTAACAGCAGAAGCAATAGCCAACACCATAAATATCTCAACTGTTTCGGGTTATACAATTCTGACTTAAAAATTACAGATGAATCAACTTTCTGCTCAATAGGTGACAAAACTGTTGCACTCAGATCAGCTACAGACAAGAGCAGAGCTTTCAATGCAAATTTTAAAGAAGTGGGATCAAGATTCTGAAACACTTCTTCGAAGAATTGTAACAGGAGATGGAACATGGCTTTACCAGTACGATCCTGAAGACAATGCACACTCAAAGGCACTGCTACCAAGAGGTGGCAGTGGTCCAGTCAAAGCAAAAGCAAAAAGCAAACGTCATGGCAACAGTTTTTTGGTATGATCAAGGTATTTTGCTTGTGGACTTTCTGGAGAGCCAAAGAATAATAACATCTGCTCATTATGAGAGTGTTTGGAGAAAGTTAGCCAAAGCTTTCACAGAAAAATCCCAGGGGAAGCTTCACTGGAGAGTCCTTCTCCATCATGACAATGCTCCCGTTCATTCCTCTCATCAAACAAGGATAACTTTGTGAGAGTTTCAATGGGAAAGCATTGGACGACTACCTCACAGTCCTGATTTGGCTCCTTCCGACCTTTTCTTTCCTAATCTTAAAAAATCTTTAAAGGGCACCCATTTTTCTTCAATTAATAATGTAAAAAAGGGCTGGCTAGTTAGCTCACTTGGGAGAGCATAGTTCTGGTAACACCAGGGTCTTGGGTTTGGATCTCCATACTGGCCAGCTGCCGTGAAAAAGAAAGGGGCTGGTCAGTTAACTCAATTGGTTAGACCTTAGTGCTGATAACACCAATGTCCAGGATTTGATCCCTGTACTGGCCAGCCATTAAAAAACAAAACAAAACAAGACCACGCTGACACGGTTAAATTCCCATGACCCTCAGTTTTTGGGGATGGACTAAATGGCTGGTAGCATTGCTTACAAAAGTATCTTGAACTTGATGGAGTGTATGTTGAGAAATAAAGTTTACATTTTTTAACACTTAATTCCATTAATTTAATTTTCATGAACTTTTTGAAGTCCCATCGCACGTTGTTCTGCACCCTGCTTTTTACCTTAATGTATCTTAGAAATCATTCTGTATCAGATCTAAAGCACCTTGTAAACGAAGATGTACCTAAATTTATTTCCATGAGCTCCCTATGGATAGATATTTAGATTGCTATCAATATTGTGCTATACCAATGTCAAGTTTCTGTTATTGTCTACCTGGATTTAAAGTTATAAATCCAGGTAATAAAGCCTCCTCTGCTCCAAAGGAATAGGCTGTTACTAGCCAACCGCTAAAAACAAACAAAAGTAATACAAATCATTCCATGAACTTTTAAAAATACCTTAATGTAATATATACACACATACATACATATACACACAAGGGGTTTTTTTTGTTTGCTTTTTACATTTTTTTGTGATAAAATATACATAACATCAAATCTACTATCTTAACTTTTTTTTTTTTTTGGCGGCTTGCTGGTACAGCGATCAAACTGTGGATTTTGGTGTTATCAGCACCGTGTGCTAACCAACTAAGCTAACTGGCCAGCCCTGCTATCTTAACTCTTTTTAAGTGTACAGTTCAGTAGTATTAAGTACACTCACATTGTGCAACCACCACCGTCATCCATCTTCAGAACTCATCTTCCCAAACTGAATCCCTCTACCCATTAAACAATAACTTCCTGTTCTACCCTCAGTGCAGCCCCTGGCACCCACCATCTACTTTCTATGTCTATGATTCTGACTACTCTAAGTACCTTACATAAGTGATATACAAGGTTTTAATCCTTTAAAGCAGCTGTACAATAAATGGTTTTCATATAATACAGTCAAGGTCTACAACTAAAGGTTAAACTGTGTACTTCCAAAATTCTTATGTTGAAGTCCTAACCCCTAGTACCTCAAAAGGTGATCTTATTTGGAAATAGGGTCATTACAAATGTAATCAGTTAAGATGAGGTCACACTGGAGCAGAGTAGGCCCCTAATCCAATGACTAGTGTTCTTATAAAAGAGGGAGAATCAGGACACAGATATGTATACAGGGAGAACTCCATGTGAAGATTGTAATAATGATGCCACAAGCCAAGGAACTGCTAGAAGCTAGAATGAAGGCCTGGAACAGATCCTCCCCTAGTAGTGCCTTTAGAGGCACGACCCTGCCAAAGCCTTGATTTTGGACATATGACATCTAAAACTGTGAGAAAATAAATTTCTGTTGTTCTAAGTTACCCAGAATATGGTACTTTGTTACAGTAGGCCTAGGAAACTAATACAGGAGGTATGAAGCCTGTTTTGCAGATATAGATACTGCGAGTTAAGAAAACATGTGCTACATCATCTCTTGCTCTTTGAACAACAGAACCTACTTGTCTTCTGTGGTAAATTGAAAGATACCAGCACATATCTAGGAATATTAGACGTTTACTGAAAAGTTTTAGAAATTAAAGATTAAAATATCAATATCTGTCTATAAAACTTAAGTGATTACATTGTAAAATTTGTCCAGTTGTGGCAAAAAGGGAACTTTTGTGCACTGTGGATGGGGATTAGATTGGTACAGCCATTATGGAAAACAGTATGGAGGATCTTAAAGAAATTAAAAATAGAATTACCATCTTTTGGTGGGTGGCAGCCAGCGAGGAGGGAGCGCCATAAAGGCCTCAGGCACATTGTGAGAATACAAGATGGTAGGGTGCTGCCTACCCACCCCCAAGTGCCACACACTGCCCCTGTACCTCATGCAAATCTTTGTGCTTAATCATGCTGTCGCCAAGTCCCACTTCGGTACTTTTCATCTCAGCTTCAGAAGATAAAGAAGTCTTCAGGGGAAATTGTCTACTGTGGATAGGTGTTCGAGAAGTCTCCGATGTGGGTAAAGAACTGCCATCTGGCTGTGCTATGACTCCCACAGTGGTGCTTGCAACATGTACTGCAAATACTGGGAGCTGACTACCGCAGGTGCTATCATCCTGTGCTACCAAAGGCACCTGGGTGCCCAGCACCGTGCCCAGGCCAACTCCATCCAGATTGTGAAGGTGGAGGAGATCACAGCCAGCAAGTGAGGTCAAGTAGTTGCATGACTCCAAGATCAAGTTCTTGCTGCCCCACCAGGTTCTGCACTGCCAGCATATGTCATGCTTCACCAAGAGGCCCAACACCTTCTTCTAGGTGCAGGGCCGTCTCACCTCGGGTCTGCCCAAATAAACTCAGGAACACATACACACACAAAAATAGAACTACCATATGATCCAGCAATCCTTCTTCTGGGCATATACCCAAAAGAAATGAAATCACCACCTCATAAAGATATCTGCCCTCCTATGTTCCTTGCAGCATTATCCACAATAGACAAAATACGGACACAGCCTAAGTGTCTGCTGACAGATAAATGAGTAAAGAAACTGGTATATACAAGGGTCTTCAAAAAGTTTGTGGAAATACAGAATTAAAAAATAATATGAAAGGTCAAGGGTTCAGATCCCTGTACCAGCCAGCTGCTCCCCTCCCCCCACAAAAGATAATATGATCTTTCCACAAACTTTTTGAAGTACCCTTGTATATAGGGTGGAATATTATTTAGCCCTAAAAAAAGAATGAAATCTTGCCACAACATGGATGCCATTACACTAAGTCAAATAAGCCAGACACAGAAAAATATTGCATGATCTCATTTGTTTGTGGAATCTTAAAAAAAAAAAAAAAAAAAAAAAAAAA